GACTTTTCCGGATTTTGTTTTGAAGACAATTTCTCCAACACCTTCTAATGCGTAGGTGTATCCATCTCCAAGCGTAACTGTCCCATGGCTAGCTTCGACGAGATTTGAGAATAATTTTTTATTCCCCGTCATGTGCTTGCTCGCACCACTATCCAAGTACCAAGTATTTTCAAAGCTACCGTTAGATGCAATCAATAAAGTCTCCATATTTTCGACTTTCTTTTCATGCAAATAACCAACTTCTTGCCTTTTTTCTGGATATTTTTCCCAACAATCATTGATTTTGTGTCCCGGTTTATGACAATAATGACACTCAACGTAAGGCCTTGTACCGTTATATGATCCTCGTCCTCGGCCTCTTCCTCTTTGAAAATTGTTCGGAAAATATTTCTCCTCATCTTTCGCCTCTTCATTTGATTTGGCTTGTCCACGGTAATTGTTGTAAGAGTTTCTTCCTCCTCTTATTTGACCACGACCACGGAACGAGCCACGGCCTCCCGTGAATTTAACTTGGGATTTTAATGCTTGATCCGGAGAAGAAATTTGAGGATTTCTTTGAAGGATCCTTGCTTCGTGTGCCTCCAATCGTCCTTGTAGACTCTCCAACGCCATTGATGAGAGATCTTGTGACTCTTCGATAGCCACAACAACATGATCAAATTTCACCGGCAAGCTTCGCATAATTTTTTCGACAACCCTTTGGGTTTCCATGACTTCGCCATTTGTCGCCATTTGATTTACAAGAGAGGTGATTCTTGTAAAATATTCAACAATTTTTTCGTTTTCTCTCATCTCCAATTTTTCGAATTCAGCCCTCAAAGATTGCAAACGAACCTTCTTTACTTCATTTTTCCCGGCATAGGGTGTTTGTAGAATTTCCCATGCCTCCATGGAACTACTCGCCTTGGTTAGTCTTTCATAGACGGGAACTTCGATGGCTTGATATATTTGGAAAAGAGCTTTTCGATCTTTTTGCCTTTCGGTTCTCAAAGTTTGCCTTTGTGCATTCGTCAATTGATCCTCATTTTCGGGAGTCTGAACACCATCTTCAACAACGCTCCAAATGTCTTGAGATTCAAGACAAAGCTTCATAAGATTACTCCAATAATCGAATTTTTCTCCATTGAAACGAGGTATAAGAGAAGCAAGGTTGGTGGACATTTTTAAGATGGCTCTGATGCCAATTTGTAGGCACCAGGATAGGATAAAAATGATTAATCCCGAATTTGGATTTTAGTGATTTTGTGAAGACTTGAAAAAATAATATTTTTGAGTAGAGAAAGTAAAATACAAGTGTTTTGTGGATGGAAAAATTACTTCTCTTTTTTGGTTTTTTTTTTGTCTTTTTGTCTTGCTTACAATTATGATCTCTAGCACTCCATATTTATAGTGAGGAGTACATTAATCTACTAATAAATTACAAAATAACTCATACACTAACAACTCTTTTAATTCTAATTTAATACTTAGGAAAATCAAAAGACAATTGTCTATACATCTAGACAATAGTGCTTCAAATTCACATTTATTCAATCCTCCACTTCTTCCAACATGAATGCCCACTTCTTCTAACATGAATGCCCACTTCTTCCAATATTGAATTGCCACTAATTTCAATATTGAATTCACATTAATTCAATTTATTCCAACAAAATTAATTATAGTTTTCTTTTTTAAGATAATTCAAAATAAAAAAATACATAATTTTGTAAATTTAAGTTCTTAGTGTACGAATAATTTAAAATAAAGAACTTATATGATAATTTAAAAATAAAATGAAAAAAGAAACCTATTCTTCTTTTCTGATTAAAATTTATAATAAAAATAAAACAGATAAAATATTTATAAATATAAGAATTTAAAATATTTACAAAATTGTAAATCTCATTTATATTTTTGTAACAGCTAAAAAATGATATACCAGGGTGTTTATGTCCTTTTGCTTTGGGTCAATGTTTAAATTAATAAGGGGTCAAGTGTGCTATTTAAAAAATTTCATAGGAGGGTTTTTGCTAGTTAATTTATCATAGGGGGGTTTTTGCTATTTTGAGATTACACAGGGGTACATTTTGCATATTACTCATATATATATATATATATATATATATATATATATATATATATATATATATATATATATATATATATATATATATATATATATATATATATATATATATATATATATATATATATATATATATATATATATATATATATATATATATATATATTATATGATAATTTTATTTAAGTCCTTATAGGATAAGGACTAAACTTTAAATATAATTATCTCCTAAGTTACGTTTAAACAACGTAAAACCCCATTGTGTTAAGGAAAACCTGCGCCAAATTCCCCTGTGTTTGTTTTCTTGCATAAAACCTTCTTGTGTTTTATTTTAGTTTGCTTAACGTAGTTAACTATAGAGAGGAATTTATGGAAGTTTTTTGTAACATAGGGGGATTTAGTCCATATTTTCTACAATAAAAGGGAATTTTATGCAAATTAATTTATTAATTTAAAATTCAAATTATTTTCTTAAATTAAGTCGAATATATCTAATAATTTAAAATATGAAAACTAAGAAAATAATACTCGAGATGGAAGTTGGATCGAATTCTCAAATTATTTATATTCTTTCACATATAATTAATCAAGAATATATTATAAACATATATAATAATTCTAATAAAATATTTATATAATTTAAAAAATAAAATTCATACATTAATAAATTATATATCATATAAACATTTATTTAAAAAAAAACATTCACCACACCTATTAATTTTTTTTATATTGTAATTGAATAAATGTGTTCAACTTAATTTCAGAAAATAATATGAAATATAAACAAATAAATTATTTTTTGCATAACATCCCCTTGTATCGTAGAAAATATGCACTAAATTCCACTATGTTACAAAAAACTTGCATAAAACCCCTTCTATAATTAACGGCGTTAACTTTTAACGGAAAAGAGAACTTCGTGCAAAGTAAAATAAAATAGAAGTGAGTTTTACGCAAAAAAAAAAAAAAAAAAAACACAGGGGAACTTGAAGCAGATTTTCCTTAACACATAGAGGTTTTATGCTGTTTACCGTAAGTTACACTAAATATATAGGACTTATCGTACGCAAAAGAGATCATATTTTTTACCCACATAAAAAACGCATCTCTTTATCTCTTGTGGAGAATAATGTTTTTCTTCTTCTCTTCTTCCAAATGTTTGACAAAAAACTGCTGATAATTTAGACTTAAATTGTCGAACATAGAATACATGTGCTTGATAGAAGTTTATGGATGCATGTTAAATAATTTTTTTAAAGGGGTGATTACAAATAAGCCTATCAATGGGTACGTAATCATAAAGAGATTCAGATAAAAAACTCTTTCACAAATAAATCCACACATGGTCTACATTTTTGTAAAAGACAAAAATAGCCCCTCATACTTTAATATGCTCCAATTTCATTCTTAATTTAATTTAACCTCAATTTGACCACAAATTTTACAAATTATTTTATTTTGACCCAAAACATTTTTTTTTTCAAACAAATGTTTTTTTCAAAAAAATTTTTGCTGCCGGATTACGGCGTTAACTTTTTGATTTTTTTTCTTCCTGTTTTTTTCGCCGGTTTCCGGCGTTGACTTTTTTTTTTCTTTATCTAACAATTTTTTTTTTTTCTTGTTTAAACAACAATATTGCTGTGATTGACAGTAACATTAACTATATTACTGTTAAACACAGTAAAATTAACTAAACTACATTTTAACACATCAATATTGCTATATTAACCTCTAGCATAGTAATACTAATATTAACACAACAAAACTCATTATTATTGTGTAATAGAGTAATATTACTATGTTGACCGTTCAATAAATGTAAACATAATAAAAAGTCAAAAGAATTAATATTACTGTGAGTGACAGTATTATTACTATAACAACAGTAATATTACCGTCAACCACAGTAATATTATAATAATAGACAGTAACATTATTACGTTACTCCGTGAATAACTCAAACAAACAAAAAAATCCAAACAAAATAATAATATTGATGTGGTTGACAACAATATTACTATAACAACAGTAATATTATTGTGTTTATAGTAATATTACAATAATATACAGTAATATTAGTACGTTACTCCGTGAATAACTCAAACAAAACAAAAAACCCAAAAAAATAATATTATTGATGTTGCTGACAGTAATATTATTGTGTTTACAGTTATTTTACTGTCAACGACAGTAATATAATTACGTTGAATTTTCAACAAAAAAAATAAAAATAAAAAAAATAACAAAAAATAAAAATAATAATATTACGTCAATTTACTGTCAACGGCAGAACAATTACATAAATTCATTGTCAACGGCTGTACAATTACATTAATTAACTGTCATTGACAGTATAATTACGTTAATTTAGTGTCAGTGACAACACAATTACGGTCAACGTTTAGCGGCATAAGTAAAAAAGAAAAAAAAAAAAGTCAACGTCGGAGAACGGCGTTGATCGCTGGTCAACAATGGAAACCGGCGAAAAAGTCCGAAAGAAAAAAAAAATCGAAAAGTCATCAACGGAATCCGGCGGCAAAAAATAAAATTTGAAAAAAAAATGTTTTTGAAAAATAAAAGTCATAATTGAATTTTTGTGGTCAAAATTGGATTTTTTAAGACAAAATTGATTAAATTGGGGTTAAAATTAAGAATTGAATATAAAAGGTTGTGGGTAATATTGTCATATATATATACATGAATGTTTCCTTTATTTTGGTGAAATATATATAACCCATAAACTTAGAATAATAAAAATTGGAGACTTATGAAAAAAAAAAAAAAAACCTTTTGAATTTCCGCTGCGCTAGGAGAGTGCATAAACCCTAAAAGGTGTACCGGTTTAAGATTTAAGTTTGTTCTAAAAAAGAACAACTTTTGAGTTGGTTTATATTCCTTTATTAGGGTTACCTCTTCAACTAGTTTGCACATAATATTCTGAGCAAATCCATAGAAATTTGCATTCAAATAAATCAACGTTAATTTCTGATGCATACTAAATATTTTCATTCCTCAGTCAACACCTCCGATCGATTAATAAACCAGGGAATGGAGGACGAAATCGAGAACCTTCCGGAAGAAATAATCGAGGAAGTACTGTACAAATTGCCAATCAAATCCTTGTTGAGATTCAAGTGCGTTTCGAAACGGTGGCGTTCTTTGATCTCGAGCAGACGTTTTGCGAAAGAGCATCTAAAGAAGAAATCATCGACGAGTACGAATGATTCAGATTTCAGCCGCCGTACCCTCTACAGCTTTTATCATTGGCACCGCTATTGCGGTTCAGATTCCGTCGGGTCTATATTTCACCTCGGCCAATGTAATCTTCCATCTGAAACAAGCACCACCGAAACGTCGTCGTTTGATCTTCGGTCTTTAGCCGCCGCAACAGTAGATTCGGTTGCCGGATGCGGCATATATTTATATGGTTCATGTAATGGGCTAGTACTCTTCTCCATGCTACATTTGGTTGGTAATTTGCTTATATGGAATCCTGCAACTAGACAAGCTAAGAAACTTCCACCTCCGTATTTGCTTTCCCAAGGTACGTGGCCGAGTTGCTTCTTGCACGGAATCGGGTACGATGAGTCTACCGACGACTACAAGGTTGTCAACATCTCCAAAGATTTTAGTCCCTACCACTACCAAACACATATATATAGTTCCAGGACTGGTTCTTGGAAGAATATTCGATACGGAAAAGTGTTTTCTGGAATTTTATGCTTCTTACGGCAAGTTTGTCAACGGAAGGTTGCATTGGCTAGTGTACAAGGAAGATGCTAATTATAACGAAAATCGGGATATTGTTTCTTTTGATTTAGTAGAGGAGAGATATAAATTTGTTGGCGGGGTCGAAAACTTGCCAATTATCGGTACCGAACTGAAGTTGACGGATTTGAGTGGATATCTTAGTTTGATTTCTTCGACAGAAGCACGAGGAATAAATGGTACATTTAAAATAAATATTTGGGTTATGATGAAGTATGGTGAACCTCAATCTTGGACTAAGATTTGGAAACTCGAGGATTCGGTACTCAGTGGTCGTCGGGTTCCTAAGGCAATGCCGTTATGGTGGTTGAAGAATGGTGACTTGGCGGTTGCTTTAGGATCGGATGTAGTCGTTTATAACGGAAAAGATAAGTTGCGAAAGACTCAGTCTAAGGTTACCGACTGTAAGATCGATTCCGCTATCTATTTTGAAAGCTTAGTGTCACCATTCAGCGACGAAGAACATCGTCGTCGTCAATGATCGTATGATTTTATTTTCAGTTTTCGAAATATGTTTCTTGAGTTTCTTTTTTTCGCTTCTCAGGTTTTTATTAATATTATTAGGTGATTTTGCTAGATATGTTTATATTGGAGAGTTGCTATGTTTTCTCATAAGGCCTACGTATCACAGTTTTCTCTGTATGCAGAATAGGTACATTTAAAATTGATGTTTTTATCATAAATATATTATTTGAAGGTACATTTACAAAATGGCAAATAGGCATGGGGCATTTTATTTTAAAAAATGTCACTTAATTAAAAAAAAAGGGGAGATCCGACTTTTATATCTTTCAAACAAATCCAACTCATTCAAAAGAAAACCCTTTTATATATACAAAAATTATCCTCAATTTTTTAAAACCCAAATTTCATGATTTACATTCTAATTTAGTCCAATTTCACCAATTAATCAAATTTGATTCTTATTTTTATTTTCACCCAATTATTACCGTCACCGTCGGAGCTAGCGTTGATTTTTTTCTTTTTTTTTTTCCATTTTTTTTTTCTGAATTGTTTTTCCGGTAGGTCAACCGCCGATCTCCGGCGTTAACCTTTTTTTTTTCTTTTCGAAAACTTCTATTTTCTTAAAAAAAATATTTTAATTAATTTACTGTCTTGTCTTGCTATTTTACCGTAACTGTTGGAGACAGTAAGTTAATAGTTTGACACAGTAATGTTACTGTCTGAGACAGTAATTTTACTGTATTAATTAATTTTATTGTCTTGGCCTGCAATTTTACTGTCTTCGACCGTAATATTACTGTCTCATGCAATAATATTACTGTTTGAGACAGTTTATTAGTAATATTGTTGTTCGGGAAAGTAATATTCATAATATTACTGTTCAGGACAGTAATATTAGTGTTCGGGACAGTAATATTACTATTCGGGATAATAATATTAGTAATATTATTGTTTTGGTATTCAATATTACTAACTCAAACAATAATTTTTTTTTAACACTGTAACTTAGAGAGAAAATAAGTAAAAACAAAAAGTCAACGACGGAGACCGGCGGATAAAAAAATTTAGAAAAAAGAAAATTTCAAGAAAAAAAAAACGCCAGAGAACCGTGCGGTCAACGTCGGAATCTACCGGAAAAAAATTAGATTTTTTTTTTTTTTTTTTTTTTTACGGCATGTTTTCAATATGGAACAATTACAGTTCACACGAGAAGACATTGATTGGATTTATAAAGAGTTATTTGATAATCAAGATATTCTTGATCTTATCGGAAAGGTTCGAGTATTACTTGTTTCTTGGTCGACAGAACATTTAGGGTTTTTTGCTAGAACCACCCCTCTGTAATTTCGAATTGCCGAAAAACTCATCGTGTTAAAAAAATTAGCAGGAACCCCCCGATGAAAATTAGTCATAAGCGAAAAAGTCCTTGACAGCATGTCGTGTGTTGTACGCGCGGCTTGTGTAACTGAGAGTGTAATTTTTTACGTAAAAAGTCAAAAATACCCTCTTAAATTCTTTTATAAATAAACATAAATCTATTTGGGTTTAAATGTAAATAATAGAAACTTTTGGATCTAATTATAATTTTCAAATTTCTTACCCAAACGAAAATTCTACAGCCGAATTTAAAAAAGGGGGCAACTATTTCAAATACTAATTTTTGCTTACTTGAATACTACCAAGTTGAAAACCACAATTGAGTACATATTTATAAGTTTTTTCTCACTTTAATACCAAAATAAAAAGAAAAGTACAAAAACACCCTTTTATACAAAATATTAATTATATCAATTTTTCTTTGAAATTACCTATTTGAAAACCAAATAAAAAAAAAAAAAGAAAAAAAAAAACTTTCAAACACAAAAAAAAACCTCCGTCCACCCCTCCCACGCCGTCGGACGCCGCCGCCGCTCCAACCCTCGCCGTCGCCGGACGCCGACGCCAAACACCGCCCAACGCCGCCCAACGTCGCCCAAGCCCGCCGCCGTCGTCGTCTTCGAATACAAGTAATATTTGTTTCGATTTTTTTTTCTTTAATATTTATTTAAGGTTTGATTGTTTGATATGGGTAACTAGGATTTGATTGTTTTAGGTAGAAATGATCGTTAATTAGTAATGGGTGCATCTAATTTCAGTCGATTTGAGCATTGATTTGAGATTCGTGGGTCGGTTCTTCGTTCACATTTTTCGACCTGTATATGTCGATTTTTGATGAATTTTCGACAGGTTGATGTCGAAAATTCATCACAAATCGACATATAGGTGTCGAAAAATGTGAAATCTTGAAATTGGATTTTTGGTAATTCGACAGATAGATGTCGAATTTTGGATTGGTTTTCGACAGCTTGCTGTCGAATATTCATCCAATTTTCGACAGCTAGCTGTCGAATTTTGATGAATTTTCGACAGCAAGCTGTCGAATTTGATCTGTGTAATTTTTTTTTTTTAATTATTAATTTGTTTTCTTTCCTATTTTTATTTACTTGTGTTTATATTATGTATATTAATTTTTATTTGTGTCTTATTTTGCAGTGGAAGAACCACGTGAACCTCGTATACCTCCGACTGTCTCAAACCGTAAGAAGAGGAATGAATTATCCGATAGAGGCAAGGGCATAGCAGTCACGACCAAGAAAAAAACCACGACCAAGAAGAAGTCTGGAGAGGGTTCTTCGTCAACGAATCCGGTGCCGGCTCTACCTTCGACTGTAGAAGTTGGTGATTCGAGCAACGAACCGGTCCGAGGTCCCGAGATACCGGAATTGTACACAAATTTTGATAAGCACATTGCTTATCATATTGTGAACGGAGGGCCAGATCGCTCGGAGCGCGGCTCAGAATTTCGAATTCGAAATCACACAGGAACTTTGAAAGGTTGGGTGCCGGCGCCGTTTATTACAGAGGTAGTACAAAGATGTGGATTAATGTCAGTTGTACAAGCATCGTACAACACTGTGGACGGCCATCTACTTAGAGCCTTCATAGAGAGATGACAGCCAGCTACCAACACATTTCATTTACCCGTTGGAGAGATGACCATCACACTTGATGATGTGAGTACGTTGGTCGGTTTGCCAGTTGTTGGGCGTACCGTGTCTTGCGAGCGTCTGATCCGTGATTCCAAAACGAAGCCCAATAGTTTGATGTTCGAGTTGCTTGGTGAGTACCCGGACGATGTAGACGAGAAGAAAGCGGTGAAGTTGGAATGGTTGAAGGCTAAATTTAGCAAAGTGACCATGAGAGAGGTAATCGCATTCAACTCGTTCGATCTATGGTACGAGAGGTATTCATCTTCTTTCAACTTGACGAACAATGATTGCAATTGAGATCTCCCATCCAATTCACTGAAATTTAACTTAGAGATAGTATTGTAAACTGTCTTCATACCAGTTACATTAGACGGGTCCTTTTCCTTCAATGCTCTTAGAATTGCCCTTGGTTTCACCATTGCTTTCTTCATAGTGTGAACAAAGGAAACCTGCTCCTTTGATAATCTTCCAGCATAAGAGTGTCCGTGCAAGTTTTCAAATAAGTTGTGGTTGTGAATACCACTATAAACATCCAATTTCCACTCACCCTTTTCATCATCTTTGTGTTCTCTTGTCCCCTTCAATTTAAACGGACAATTGCATTTCTTTGAACCGGTGCTCCTTTTTCCCGGTCTTTGATCATCTTCACCTGGTACCTTCTTGCTAACATAATGGCCCCCACGCTCACAACGAACAATCACATACGGTGTCCTACGTCCTCTATCTCCGTCACTCAAACCCGCAATCATTAACACCATTCCAATTCTTTTACATACTTCATGTACCCATGCCAATAAAGCTTCTTTTGTTGGGAATTTTTCTCACGTGGTAAATGAATGGGTACAATCGATCTACACAAAAGTGTCGAAAATATAAGACAACTAAATTTGCAACATGAACAAAATCGACACTTAAGTGTCGAAAATGACCCATATTTTCGACACTTAAGTGTCGAAAATAGATGTCAATTTCGACACCTAAGTGTCGAATTTTGATACAATTTCGACACTTAAATGTCGAAAATATGGGTAATTTTCGACACTTAGGTGTCGAAAATTGTATCAAAATACATACCTGAATGGGTTCTCCTTGCTCGTAGACTACCATTCTATTGTCATTTGACGCCATTTTGCAAGTTGTGTAAGGTTTTGATTTCCTTTGTTTTGAGGTTTTTTGGGAGGGTTTTTGGGGAGGGAGAAGAAGGAGGTGGAGGAGGTGAGGGGTTTGTGAGTGAGGAGGGAAATGTTTTTTTTAGGTTTTTGATTATTTGGTATTTAAGAAAGAAAAGTAGTATTTGTAATATTTTTTTGGTTTTAATTTTCATTAAGGGCATTAAAGTAATTTACAATTAATTATTTATTTTTTATTTTTTTGGTATTCAAGTAAGCAAAATTCAGTATTTGAAATAGTGATCCCCTTTAAAAAAATAGACTCAATTAGAAAAAAAAAATAGATCTCAATTTAACTTGTCTTCTTCCCAAATTTCCTCCTCCTACTGCCGCCCCTTTCCTCCCACCACTGGCCTTCTCCAATCTTCTCCTCCACCGACAACTTTTCTTCACCAACGCCAAGTGCTTGAATCCCCCAGCCCTCCGCCGTTCATCGGTAATGGAGGATTTTCAGCACATGCGTCCTTCAACAACATTTTTTCCGGCGAGAAGAACCGGATCCGACTACGGGAGTTATTTCAGCGAGAAATAAGGGTGGGGGGTTAAAGGTAGATTCGATGTGGGCAAACATTTTCCGGCCAAATTGAATAGTAACACTTCGATTCTGGCGAGTTGTGCGGAATGATTACTGAAAAATTATTAAAATTCTACGGAGATGAATGTTTTGGGGAGGATTTGAGTGAAAAATTATTCAAAAATAGGAAAAAAAAAAAAAAAAAAAAAAAAAACAATAGCTCATTTTTTTTTCACACTGTTTTTTTTTTGTGTAAGATTTCCTTTTTTTTAAATTAGATTTTCCAGTGTGTTGGGGAAGATTGTTTTGGGTTTTGTTCGAAATTCCTATTTTTACTTTTTTTTTAACAATTTCATGTTTCTTTCGTAAGGGTAAATTAGTCATTGTATGTAAGTCAATAGCTAATTTTAACGAAAGGGGCAGTGTGCTTCGTATAAAACAACATAGGGGGGTTTATGCTAATTTTTTTAACACAGGGGTTTTTTTAGCCATTCGAAATTACACAGGGGATTATATGCAATTAACTCGAACATTTATGCTTGCCCGTAATTTTTCAAAAGTTTCATCTCTAATCATTTGACATATAATTGGTTATGACATGTTGTTTTATTATATTTGTATTACCGAAAATTCGACGGAAATGACCAAAAGTGTTATATTTTTGAAACACGAGAGACTAAATCTTTTTTTTTTTTTTTTTTTGTGTTAAAAATTGGACCAAATATGAAATCGAGGTAAACCCGAAGGACAAAAAAGTGTGATTTTCCCGTTAGCAATTATAAATGCATGTCTATTAATAGAGTTACATTCTACCCTTAAAAAACAAGAATTTCATTCACGAGCCAACCAACTACCAATAATTGGGACGTTACAACGGTCGCCACGGTCGCCGAATGTGAGCTATGACGACTCTAAACTCTTCGTTTCCAATGTCCCTTTGTTCATCTTTAATTTTTATAGCCGATTTCACCAATGACTTTTCGCAGAACCCCCGTACCTCAATCAACTGTAGCGTCACAATTTCACCGACGTCACAAGGAATCTCTTTCAGCTCGGTGCAATCACGCAACACCAATTGTTGGAGCTTGGGAAAATGCTCGCTAGAGCCCACGTTCCATTCAGCAAGTTCTAATCCTTCGAGTTTCAATACTCTTAGCTCCTGAAATTCGCCTTCTCTTGTCTCCCATATTCTTTCTTCAACTGCCGTGCATCGTAATTTAAAAACCTCAAGCTTTTGCAGTCTTCCAATTACGGACAACATTTCCCAAGTCAAACATAAGTCGGAAAGAACCAACTTTCTTATACCGGGGAGGAGGCTAATGCCAACCCACTTTCGATACATGTTGACGCATTTGAGGTTGAGCGACTCGAGCTCGGTGAAGAAGCGGAAATCGGGGTATCGGTATGCTCCCTTCTCTTTGTCATAATATGGTTCACATTCGCACTTGAGTTTGCGAAGATGGGGGGAACATTTCAAGATCTCTTCATCGTTGAGACCGTAAATACCAACGTTGCGAAGAAACTGTATGTTATTATTGTTCTCAGGGCAGTCGATATATTGGTTGAAAAATGATACATAGGTTAAAAGAATGTATTTCAATCTCTTCATTTCCAAAACTACCAAGGGTATAACCACTTCCGTTTTATTCGTTACAATAACACATTCTAGGTTCACAAGGCTGCCTATCGATCCCGGCAAATCAGTTATTTCCAAGTATCTCAATTGAACAAGATATTCCAATCCAATCATGGAACGAGGAGGATGCAAGTCAAAATCAAGAACCCTAAGTTGTACCATGTTGCCAAAATAAATTTTTTTTTCCATAGGCAAACAATGAAAAGAGCGAGCATGCCATCCAAAAGGACCCGTTAAATATATTGGGTAGTCGTTGCTGCAAAAGACACATGCATGAGGTCACCATAACTATGATAGTACGATCGTAAAATGAATCAACACATCTTGCGCGTTGTCATAAGTAAGCTAAAACAAAATCGCAATTGTACGTTATAAAGTGAACAATATATAGAGAGTAAACTTACCGGACAATTGCAACTTTGAGGAAGTTTTCTTGTTCAGAAATATTCCGGCAGAATTCATACACCTCGTCACGAATCATACACGTTTTGACTCCACCATTAGATCTTCTTTTCGAGACGATGACTAAGCTCTTATCAATTAGCTCCGTTAAGTATTCCTCCCCTGTACTCTCTGCACTCTTCCCCTCTCCCTTGTGTATGAATCCTTCAGCAATCCAAAGTCTAATCAACTTTCGAACATGATTTTTTCTGTATTGTACAAATACTCCAAAATAAAGAAAACATGGTTTCAAATATTCTGGTAGATGTCTGTAGCTGAGTTCCAATATCTTCTGCATCGCGGAATTATCTCCACCATCAAACAAATACGAGCCTACACCATTTCCAACTTCTTTCCACGTATTTTCTTGTCTATCCATAGTCGAAAGAGTTCCAGCCAAAAAAACTACTGCAAGTGGTAGCCCGTGACAATTCTCTGCAATTTGCCTTCCAATTCCTTTCAGTTCAAGAGGGCACGGTTCATCGTGGAACACCTTCTTTTCTAAGAGCTTCCAACATTGATCATTCGACAAAGTGGGAAGTGGGTATATTAGGCTATTAGGTGGGGCCACATCTTTATTCCTATTGGTGAACAATATTCGGCTTCCATTCCCATCATCCGGGAAACATCTGAGCACATTGTCCCATGCCTTCAAATCCCATATATCATCCATCACGATTAGATATCTTCTTCCCTTCAAACCTTGGTAAATGCGTACGACTAACATTTCTTCATCCATACTCAAGATCATATCTTTGTCAAACTCACTCGATAAACCTATCAGAATGTCGGCTAATAGACGTTTCCGTTGATACATTTGGGAAACGACGCACCATGAGCATCTGTCAAATCTATCATTAACTAATGGATGATTATACATTTTCTTCGCAAAAGTAGTCTTACCAAGCCCGGGCATCCCGAAGATGGAAATAAGTTGCAGTTGATCTCTCCCTCCTACCAGTCGATCCAGAATATGTATTGCCCTGTCATCAAATCCAACCATAGCGACGTCAAACTCAGTAATCCTTTTAGTTTGTAATGATACATATGATCGGAAATTCTCTGCAACTCCAACAACTGCCAAGTCATGGTTCTTTTTTATTACCTGTAGACGAGTATAAGCTCATTTGTTTGGATGATATAGGTGAGCCGCATGGTGACATACCAACGAGGAGCATCTCCAACCGAAAAACAGTTGATCAGGTACTCAGCTTCATAAGCCGAGTGTCTAATTAGTGCTCTTGATTCTTGGATCCCCGAGGAATCGTGTGGCGGCACCTTTATGCTCTTGAGCAGGGACCGTGAAAGCATTAGCTGTTGATGGAGTATTCGGATCTGGTCCTTCAGACTAACAATCGGACCATCATTCCGGTTCATTAGTTCTTCGAGATCATAAAGCAGAGAATCGACAATGAAAAGAGAGTCCACAGAAGCATCCCCAAGAATGAATTCATCAGTAGTGATAAACGGCAGCAGATTTAAGAATTTAATGATGTTAGCTTTCAAGATTTCGATACGTTTGAACAGAGCATCTAAGGGCTTATGAATTCCCACCATGCATTCGGGTAGGAAAATGAAGGAATACACTAAACCTGCAGCATCATTAGCCACCGCCTCGAACTCTTCCAAGAGATCGTGGACTTGTTCGAACTCTATAAACGGTGTATCACCGAGAATCGTAACAAAAAATCTGAGCTCTCTTGTAAGAATGTTGATTTCATCATCAAAGAATTTCATCAAATTTGTCCTGTGGTATAGTAACCGAACAAGGAAATTGATGAAAGTCGCCACAAGTTCATTCTTCTTCTGAAGGTTTGGCAACTGAAACAGTTGACGAAGCTCTTGTGTGAAGAAGGCGGCAACGATTTTGGCGGATGGTAATTTGCAACTCTTATCTTCGCCGAGAGACGGGATACTCGTGTAGCTCCAAGCGCTGAAGTCGAAGCATTTAGCGTTCTCCAACTCCGAAACGTAATCAATGACTGCTGAAATATGTGATTCGGTCCAGGGAATCGTTTCGATTTCGTAGGGGCTCAAATCTGAGGCGGCGGACCTGCATACGGTTAGTTCTTGAAGAACTTGTAACAGAGTTTTGTGATGAGAGGGAGAAGCCATATTTGGAGTTGGTGATGAGAATTTGGTGATATTATTATGTGAAAACCAAATGTTTGCTGGAAAGAATGAAAGGTGGAGACTAGTTGACTAGTTGTTTGTACCATTAAATTCTTGTTACATATTATTAATCAGGAAAGAATAGTTGCCATGAAATTATTGTTATTCTGAAAACTATTGTTCTAGTTGCCAATAATAGTCTACCCTTTTAATTCTCTCACTTCGGACTTGTCGGCAATATTTTTATATTGGATTGGACCACGGGTGCAAGTTGGAATAGAAATTCCAATTTCCGTCCATTCCGATCCGAAAAGTTTCGATTTTGGAAAAACTTTTTTCATTCTGAATTTTTCTGTTTTTTTTTTATTGGAATTGGAATTATATTTAAAAAAAATTGAAATTTCCGATTTTCGATCCGATTTAATTTTCGAAATTAATTACCAAAATTCCAATTTTTTTCCGAAAAATACACTATAAACAGTGATACATAGGCGGCGACGACCACTGAGTACCGAATCCTTGAGTTTCCAAATCTTAGTCCAAGATTGAGGTTCACCATACTTCATCATAACCCAAATATTTATTTTAAATGTACCATTTATTCCTCGTGCTTCTGTCGAAGAAATCAAACTAAGATAGCCACTCAAATCCGTCAAATTCAGTTTAGTACCGATAATTGGCAAGTTTTCGACCCCACCAACAAATTGATACGATTTATTATTTAATTATTAGTTAGTTAGTATTTTTATTATTAATTAATTAGAATAAGTTGTTTAGGTTTATATTTTGCCGTGAGTACTTAGTTGTTAGGGAATTATTAAGTATTTTATTAGTATAGGTAATTATCTTTTCTAGTTAGATTAGGATTCTAGGGTTTTCATATCTTTAAATAGTCGTCTTATGCTAGGGTTTTATTATGAAAAGAGAAATAATAAAGAAGAGTTTTCTTACGTTTAGTAAAGAAATCTTATGATACTCAAGAGATCGTATCAATTGGTATCAGAGCGAAGTTGCGATTAACACCAACGCTTCGTTAGCAAGGCAGAGATTATATCAAAGCTAAGCTGGAGCAAAGTTGAGATCACATCAAAACTTTGTGAAAATCATGATGTCCGAAACAAGACGGTTAGAGCGATTGGAGAAATCCGTAGAGAGATTACGGATCGATTTTCAGAAATTACTCGAACAAAGTCACGGACGACGTCAACGCCAACACAAAGGCCGAAGGGACCGCCGCCCATCACCGCCAACGCCACCGCTACCATCACCACCGCCGTTGCCGAGCCTGTCGCCGGAGGGAGAGGAAGAGGACGACGATGATTTTTTCGAAGAGCCACGATTTTTTGTGAGTTCGCCGAAAGAAGAATTACCGGATTCGGGAGAAGTAATTTGGGATGAAGACGAGAAATTAACCAATAAGGAGATTGAAGAATCACTCGTCTTAAGTGAGATAATTTGGAACGGGCACGAGGAGTTAAGTAGCGAGGAGGACAAAGAATTAAAAAATATAGTGGAAGGATGCCACGACTTCCCGGAGAAAGGAAACGAAGAAGTGCTTGTGATTGTGAGTGAGCCAGATTCTATAAAGACGGTCAAAGAAAAAGTTACGGTGAATGTAAGGAAGACGAAACTTGAAAAGACAATTGAGACGAAGGTTGATTTATCGGGTAAGAGATTGAAAAATTTCGTTCGGGCAGATGGACTCATGTTTGGAAAAGAGCTCGATTTTTCGTCATGTTTTTCGGATTCAATCGGAAAGCAATTCGATGGCGTCAAGCATAGGTGGAAACACAAAAAAGAGAGACGATTATTGGGCAGAACCTTGAGGACAAGGTTCATTTCAAGAGGGGTGGTTTGATACGATTTATTATTTAATTATTAGTTAGTTAGTATTTTTATTATTAATTAATTAGAATAAGTTGTTTAGGTTTATATTTTGCCGTGAGTACTTAGTTGTTAGGGAATTATTAAGTATTTTATTAGTATAGGTAATTATCTTTTCTAGTTAGATTAGGATTCTAGGGTTTTCATATCTTTAAATAGTCGTCTTATGCTAGGGTTTTATTATGAAAAGAGAAATAATAAAGAAGAGTTTTCTTACGTTTAGTAAAGAAATCTTATGATACTCAAGAGATCGTATCACAAATTTATATCTCTCCTCTACTAAATCAAAAGAAACAAAATCCCGATTTTCGTTATTAGCATCTTCCTTGTACACCATCCAATGCAACCTTCCGTTGACAAACTTGCCGTAAGAAGCAAAAAATTCCAGAAAACAGTTTTCCGGAAATCGAATATTCTTCCAAAAACCAGTCCTGGAACTATATATGTGTTTGGTAGTGGTAGGGACTAAAATCTTTGGAGATGTTGACAACCTTGTAGTCGTCGGTAGACTCATCGTACCCGATTCCGTGAAAGAAGCAACTAGGCCACATACCTTGGGAAAGCAAATACGGAGGTGGAAGTTTCTTAGCTTGTCTAGTTGCAGGATTCCATATAAGCAAACTATTAACCAAATGTAGCATGGAGAAGAGTATTAGCCCATTACATGAACCATATAATACTATGGAAATCGAATCTATGGATAACGTTGCGGCGGTTAAAGACTGAAGATTAAACGACGACGACGTTTCGGTGGTGGTGGTTTCAGATGGAAGATTACATTGACCGAGGTGAAATATAGACCCGACGGAGTCTGAACCGCAATAGTTGTGCCAACGATAAAAGCTGTACAGGGTACGGCGGCTGAAATCGGAATCATTCGTACTCGTCGATGATTTCTTCTTTAGATGCTCTTTCGCAAAACGTTTGCTGGAGATCAAAGAACGCCACCGTTTCGAAACGCACTTGAATCTCAACAAGGATTTTATTGGCAATATGTACAGTACTTCCTCGATTATTTCTTCCTGAAGGTTCTCGATTTCTTCCTTCATTCCCTGGTTTATTAATCGATCGGAGGTGTTGACTGAGGAATGAGAATATTTAGTATGCATCAGAAATTAACGTTGATTTATTTGAATGCAAACTTCTATGGATTTGCTCAGAATATTATGTGCAATGTAACTAGTTGAAGAGGTAACCCTAATTCTTTTTTGGAACAAACTTAAATCTTGTATTTAAGGAGCACATTTTAGGGTTAATGCACCCTCCTAACGCAGCAGCGGAAATAAAAAAAAAAAAAATTAAATGTGTCTAAAAAATAAAAAAATATGATTTTGCGTACAAGAAGTCTTATATATATAGTGCTCTCTTAACCTAGGAGATAATTATATTTAAATTTTAGTCATTATTCTATAAGGGAAATCCCTCGCCCTCGGGGCCCATCCCTTGTGGTGATTCAACGGCCAGTTAAGGTAGCGGACTCGGACTTGGTGCTTACAAGTCTCATTAGAGTTGAAATTCCCACACTCAGTTTAGGTAGCGGACTCGGACTTGGTGCCTACAAGTCTCATTGGAGTTGAAATTCCCACACTGCGGCTGCCAGGATTCGATACTAGGACCTTGTACCAACTTACCACCTCCGAAACCAATTGAGCTATACCCATGCGGGTTATTTCTCGTAAGCTCAATATCTATCAAATGGTAACTCCAAAAAATGTAACAATTACATATTCAAAACGAGCGAAAAATCCTTGTCGTTTTGTCTACCAAAATGTATTTTCCAATTTCTGAAATTTGGAAACTTTCATTTCCGGACACCTTCTAAATCAAGAAAAATTCCAATTTAGAAAGTCTTCTCCAACTAAATGGAAACACATTCTTCTTTTAATTTCAATTTGCAATGCATTATTACGAACTTCCGGAGTCAATCACATTAAGATTCAAAATTACCAAGAACAACAACTATAAGGTATAATTTGTCAAATATATTAGAGTATACTAGAGTAACTATAAGCTCATATCTTCGCTTTTATAGGGACAAAAGATATAATTTGTCAAATATAGAGTTTTTCATTAATACGAAATAGATTGTGTTATACAAGTAGGAGGATAACCGTAACAAAGAGTTGGCTTACAGATCATCTACTCTAGCAACCAAATGAGGTAAATTCGTTAAAATACATAGATCTTCTAAAGAAAGTCGAGCCACTTCGTCTGCAACTCTATTCTTTTGCCTCCTCGTATTGCGGGCCGAAAAAGTTTCAAATTAAATGAGTCTGACACACTATCTCAAAACTCGATCTATCATCTTTGAGACTCGAAATCGCTTCTATACTGGAATCGTCTTCATTGACAACTTTGCTTCAATTGTTATACTTAGCCAATTTCACCTCTAGCTAGATAGACCGCTTTTTCCTCTACTTATGTAAGACAAACCAGTCAAAACACTCCCATGCATGTGATCGAGTGATAACCCATTGCCCAACAGTACCATTAGATTCATTAATTGCCGCATCAAAATTTACCCTGACTGCATTCACATTCGTTGGCAATCAACTAGAATCATAATTTTTATTTCCAATGTTTCCTCGAAGCACATTGTTTGTGGGGCTTTGTAGCATGTCTCCATAGTTCTTCACGAAAGAGATAACTTCCAATGCTTCATTCGGTTCTCCTTCAAATGTATTTTTGTTCTTTAATTTGAAGACCAAATTGCCCAACTTTAGAAATTCGCTTTCAACTTTCATTCCATTTCATAAGTAAAATTGTGATTCCTTTTCCCAATTTTCACAAGTTCATCGTCATATTATGTTGAAAATACTAAATTTTGCTATTTTTCGAAAGTTCACTACCATATTTTATTAAAACACTTAATTTTCTAAATTCCGCTATAATTTTCATTAGTTTACTATCATATTTTTCTAGTTCCCTCTGAATTTGTGTGCGTATGTTCAATGATAAAAAAGAAAACAATTGTAAAAAAAAGTGAGGTTTTCAATTCTAGACATACAGTATAAAATTTTTGAATGTTGAAGTGGTACCCTGTAGAATTGAAATGGACTTCATCACATCCCTTAAATTTATCCACATGTCTTGTAACCATTAGAATCCCGATTTTCTAGACTCAAACCACAATTCACTCTTTGAGATAAACCCATACTCCTTTCACCTGAGATCCGAATCACCTCCTCATCATCGACGACCGCCGCCTAGGAGTCGCTGAAGAGGCGGCCGATGTTGATGCTCCGCTTGCAAACTCCACGTACGTTGTCAAACACTAAACCAATTTTCCCACTGCTCCGCCTGCAAACTCGACGCCGCAGCCGCCTCTGACGGCTCCGTCTACTGTCTACACCTACAAATTCTTCATCCTCCGGCCAAAATGCTACCAACTGTCTCAGCAAATCAACCACCCGATCGACCAAATCCACGCCCTTGTTCTCCAGCCGAAGCCTGTCTACTCTGAAGGCGTTTTTCGGTGGACGCCTGTGGAAATCAGGGCAGTGGCTTTTCTTACACTTGCGGCCTGTGCTACTTCGGTATCACCAGACGGTTCAATTTACGTAATCGACTATAGTCGATTAATAAATCAACTATTTGAAAGTCGGTTTATTATACGCTTTAATATTTTAATCAACTAAAGTCGGTTAATAAATCGACTATGCAAACAGCATAGTCCATTAGTGTCCAGTTTAATCTAAATTTCGCAAAAAAAAAAAAAAAGATAAATTAGAAAATCGCGAAAAACATACTAAGGAGGTTGTCACTTATTATTTCCAAAGGATGGATATATCTCAATACAATTTCCTAAATCAGGGAGTCTTGCTAATTTTCCCTAAAAACAATTATTAAGAAGAAAAAAAAAGACAAAATAAAAAAAAATCTACCTATATTCTCATAGCATGGAATTGCAAATTAAATGTCTTATTACATCTTCGGAGTTGGCAACCACCAAACAATTATCATTAATTTCATAAATAAAACCATTAAAAAACAGGGGAAAATAAGAACAATGCCCTTTTCTCTCACTTTTTCTCACCCATCCCAAGAGTGTTCTTCACACCATCGACGGCGCCCTGAGCCATATTAGCCACCTTCTCTCCGGTCTGTTTAATTATACATTAAAAAAACAACTGTGGTTAATTAGTAAATATACATTTCCTAGGGAGTGAAAAGTAATAAAAAAGAAGTTGAAGGACCTGTTGAAGGAATCCAGCACTTTCTTCCTGGCTTCTGTGGGCCTGCTCTTGGGTTCTCCCAAGCGCATCACATGTCTTATCATGTGCCGACTGTGCTGTGCCCTTGGCTGAGTCTATCCATTCCTCTGTCTTCTTCTGCTCGTTTGGTTGCCAAAATAATATTAATCAAAATATAAGATTAAATAGTTTAATGAAAACTCAATTATTTTATAGTAACTCGATCGGGGTGTCCAATTAAATAGATATCTTAAAGGCTAGATAAGACATGATAATGCAATATTTTTAGGTCGATTCGAGAAATTATTGAGTTTATCAAATATCAAACAAGACACAGTTATTTAGTTAATAATGACTAATCTTCTCAACCAAATAATTGATTTATACTAATGGTTGCTTCCGTTAATTACCACCGTTGAGTTCAATTAATTTAATTATAAGAGTTGGTAATATATTTGATTCATAAGAATCAAACTAATTCATGTTCATAATAAAAATTGAATTCAACAACTATATGTTGCTATTCAATAATATCATATTAGATGTTGTCATTGCCATGCATTAAATTTGTAGCTAATGATTGAGAAAAATGCAATTTAACCCATGCTAGAGTCAAAATAAGAAATCGAATATTTTAATAAAAAATAATTAGTTACTCAATCTTAAATTTTAAACCGAACGAGACTTGAATAGACAATTTTATTCATGTAATGCTACAAATTATGTGAAAGTTATTGTTAAATTATGGGTGTTACTGATAATCACATTTAATACCATATTTCAGCAATTCTATTATTGGAGCGGCTAATACAGATAATTCTATGCTACACCAGGTGAAAATTACACCAGGTGAATTTTTATTGCTGATCTACACGCATTAATGTAGATGTGTGCATGATTGTATGTATATGAATGATAAAGACCTATCCAATATATTTCACCCGGTGTAGCATAGAATAGACCTGGCTAATACAAGGAACCAAATATCTTACTAAATAAATAATTAGGTAAACATAATTAAATCAAATTAAATCCAAATTAGTTCGATATATGTAAACGATCAAGAATCAAATGATGCCTTATGTTATTTAACGTATATATAACGATCTTTATTTTAAAATACCAAGACTTAAATATTTAATGCAAAATTAGGTAGTAAAATGGTGTTGAGAGCAAATAAGATTTTTCGTGCTTGCAACGATACCTGGGTCTGGCCATGGTTTTCTCCTGCGTTGAACTGGGTGCTCGACATTTTTCACTTGTAACTTTTCGAGTAAAAGATGCTAAATTTTTCGAATATTGGAAAAAAAAGTAATTTAATTTAGTGTGAATGCTTAATGTTTTTTTTATCTGCGAGGTATTTATAAGTTTACCGATAAATTGTTACATTTTTTTATCTTTTTAAATTGTTTGGTGACGAGTGAATTGCTGCCTTTGACTTGGTGCAATGTGAAGTAGTGTCCATGTTTTTTTTTAACTGAATGTGATTATCCATGTATTTAGGTGGTGTTTGTAAAAGCTTATTTAAAAGGAGAAGTTAGAGGCTATGAGTTAACTGGTTATAAGTGGTTTATTTTAAAAGTTGGTAGTGTTTGTAAAATGAAAAATTAACTTAAATAGAAAAAAATAGGTCCATATTTGCTTTTAAAAGAGGGGTCTTAAGATATAGATCCCTAGTGACAAAACTAATTAGAACTAAATGACAAGCTCAACTAAATATTTGTTTCACATCCTTTATAAAATTCATTCCAAAAATGCCCTTCCACTCATTTTTATTTTTTTAATTTTCACTTTAGCATTTTATATATTATTATAAACATTTTTTTTCCTTATTTTTTATATTTTATTGAGTATTACGAAAAAAACAAGTTAAATAATTCAGCAAATTTTAAAAATACTATAATGCACTATGGTATACTATGGTGCACTATAATTTTCACACTATTATTAAAAACAAAAAAAATCCTACATAATATTGAAAATTACAAAAAAAAAAAAATTGTTTTTCGTTTTTGTTAATTCAATATATATATATTTTAATTTATTTTATAATTTATTTGTTGTCAATACTTTAGTAGCCTATGGTATACTACGGGCACTATGTTCTATTACGGTGTACTACCAAACCCTAGCAACCAACAACACCCAATCTCCCAACCCTAACCGTACACGTAGTGGCCGTCAAACCCTAGCCGCCAACATTCGTAGCCGTCGCAACCGTACCAACTTTGGAAAACCCTAGATTTACGATTTTGAATCCAAATCAAGCAAAATCTCTTGAAGATCAAGAAAATTAAATGCAATTTGTAAAGAAAATATCCCGCCGCCGACCACCAAAACCACATCCCGCCGCCGACCACCACAGCCCCCCGTCGCCGACCACCACAGCCCCTACCGCCGCCTCAACCTCCACAGTCCCTCGCTGCCGTTTCGACTGCCACAACGCGTTGCTGCCGCCATAACCACCACAGCTCGTCGCTGCTGCCTTAACCACAACAGCCCCGTCGCCGCCGCCTTAACCACCACAGTCCGTCGCTGCTTCAACCACCCCTGTGGCCCTGCCTCGGCTACTACTGAATAATTTACCAATAGAGAGATATAGAGATAGAGAGGGGTGAGAGAGAGAAAAACAAAAAAAAAAAAAGTAAAAAAGAGATACAGAGCGTGTGAGAGAGATGGAGAGAAAGAGAGAGCATGTAAGAGAATACCAAAAGAAGCGAAATAAATATGAAGTGAAGAAACACGAATGTGTAGGTTATATAATTTAGGGTATAAGGGTAAGATATGGATAAACAAAATTAAGGATGTGACCCATATATTATTTCAAACTAAGGATTTATTTAAAAAAATGAATTTGAACTTGTCATTTAGTTCAAATTAGGTTTTGTTTGAGGGGCTCATAGCATATTACCCCTTTAAAAGAATAGCCTGAAACAACTTATTTTAAGATAAGCAAAAACAAAATTTGATTTTACTTATACCGAAAACAGATTATGCCAAAAAAAAAGGGTTTTTTGCAAGAACCACCCCTGTGTAATCTCAAATGGCTAAAAAAGCCCTTGTGTTAAAAACATTAGCATAAACCCCCCTATAAAAATTAGTCAAAGCAAAAAAGTCCCTGAAAACATGTCGTGTGATCCACATGCGGGTTATGCGACTGAGAGTGTATTTTATGATATGAAATGTCAAAAATACCCTATAAAGTTCTTCTATAAATAAAGATAAGTCTAATTGGTACTTAATATAAATAATTCAAATTTTTGGATCAAATTGCAATTTTCAAAATTTTCTTAAAACAAACAAAAGGAATACAGTAAAAAAGTAAATTTTTTTTTGAAGGAATTCGTCTTCCCCAAATTTCTTCCATCGCCTACTCTTGTCGCGGTGACACCGTCCATAGGAGAGGGTAATTCCTCTTCGACTTCAAGACTATCTCCTTCTCCATCACCAATTTCTCTTTGCCGCCGCAAAGTTCTTGAAGAACCCCAGCCCTCCGGCATTCGTCGATAATGGAGGATCTTCAGCCCTTGCGTGCTTCAACCACTGTTTGCTGGCGAGAACGACGACTGTGGGTAAGTTCTTACGGCAAGATCTAAGGGTGAGGGCTGGTCCAAGGTAGGTTCGACGGGGGCAGACGTTTTCCGGCGAAATCTTCCGGCGAGTTCTAAAGGTGGGGGTTTGGTTCGAAGTAGATTCGATAGGGGAAAGTGTTTTCCGGACAAATTGAACGGAAACACTTTGATTCCGACGAGTTGTGAGGCATTAATACTGAAAAATATTAAGAATCAAAGAGGATAAATGTCCTGTTCTTAGAAATTTAAATGAAGAATTATCATCTTCTTTTTTATCTTTTGCAGCCCCTTTTGTGTTCTTTTTTTTTGTCTTTTTTTTTCTTTTTTTTTTAAAATTTCATTTTTTGCCTTTGTAATGGTAAATTAGTCATTACATATAAGTCAACAGCGAATTTTGAAAAAAATGGGCAGTGTGCTCTGTGAAAGATAACATAAGAGGGTATGTGCTAATTTATTTAACACGAGTGCTTTTTTAGCAATTTAAAATTACACAGGGGGTTCCATGCAATTAGCTCCAAAAAAAAAGCTCAGAAGCTAAAATCTTTTGAAAACACCACCTTAATATCTATATTTGTACTCTAATATTTTGAGAAAGAAAAGATTTTGGTTGAATAATAATAGGGTAAATTCTATTTTACCCTCTCTACTCTAGTTCGGTAACACTTTACCTCCTTTTATTTTGAATTGTATCACTTAACCCTTGTATGCACTATTGAAATTGCTTCAACTAAAAGTTTTTGTGTTTTGGAATGTTGAATCGGACTTTTTCTTTCCGCTTTGATCTTAAGCGGAAGTCGTCCTTGAATTGATGTTTTATAATTGCGAGAGGATTTTGAATGTAGTCACCAGAAAATATTGGTGTAAAATGAATGTAGGAAATGGAAGAAAAATATTAAAAATAAAGACAAAATAATATATTTAAAGAAGAAATTAAAAGAATATATTAAAAATATGGAAGCAATAATATATTTAAAGGGTTAATTGCATTTCATCGCCTAGACTTTGCCTGTTTTTGCACTTTCCCACCTTAACTAAAAAAGTTGTACGGTCGCACCCAAATATTCATTTTTTATGCACATAACCACCTTGAGGGAATATTCTGGCAAACCTTTTCACTTTCCGGTGCACGCACGCTGCACATGCCAAAGTACATGGACTTTTTCGTCTTTGCCTTTAAGATCCTTCTAAATGCCATAATTTCGCTTTAATTTTCCCTCCATCTCAATTTCCCCAAGTCTGATTTCCCTCTTCTTTACTTCCTCTCCTCTCCTCTCTTCTTTTGTCTGCATTTTTTTTTCTTTTTCTCCTTGTTCTCTCTTCGTTCTTTCGTTCTTTTGTTTCGGTTCCGGACATGTCACAAAATTGTGGAGTCCAGGGCAATAATACATGCTACTATGCAAGAATGACAATAATGAAAACATCTTGGACTGATTTGAATCCAGGGAGGAGATACGCTATATGTCCCAAATATAAGGTATGAATTTCTTGTAAATTTCGTCAGTCTTATTTGGAATCCATGGAGGAGATTTGCTGATTTTGAATTCTTATAACGTGTTTTGTTTTTTTCCAACAAATTGGGGGTTGCAAATAGTACTATGTGTGGATTGATTTTCCAATGTGTGACCGATCTCGTAACATAATTCCTGGTTTACTTAGGAAGATCAACAAGTACGAAGATGAGTTGAAGAAGTACGAAGATGATTTGAAGAAGTGTGAAGAACAACTCATTAAGAAGGGGTCAAGGGAAATATGGTTGTGAATTGCCCTGACAGTTGCAATGTTTTTAGTGTATATGTTTGTTTAGATGTTTAGAACGAGTATTGATCTTTCTATGTTATGTACTTGCCTTCAATTAAGTAGTTGTAATAACTTTTTAACTTTATGTTATTGTGTAATGGCAATATAGATTTGTAATGAATGTAATCGTATACCTACTGAGTTTTGCACAAGAAAAAAACCTGAACATTTTAAAAGTAACTAAGTGCATAAGAAACAAACTACATAGTCTTACCAAATTCCAAAATACTACAAAATAGTGCAAAGTCTTACCAAAATGCAAAATACAAATTACATAGTCTTACCAAAATACAAAATAGTTCACAAGACCAATAACAAAGTCATTCTCAAAAGAGAAATCCCAAAAGATCATTGCCAAAACGCAAAATGTATTGATCTAAAATGTTCAAAGTGTACTTAAATCACAACAAAAACATCATAAGAAATTAAACGGCCACTATTTCTTCTTTGGTGTGGCTTTTTGTTGGCCTCAGATTTTGTGATGGGGATGAAGGTTGAAGCACAACTTGCTTATTCCCTTTGCTTTTTTTGGTAGCCATTGTTGTTTCCTTCTCCTTTTCCTTCCCTTTTCTTGTATCCGAAAAAACTATTGTTTCATTCTCCTTGCTTGTCTTACCAATAACCTGATTTTTTCCATATGTTAGGATAAATTATAAAAGAAATTAGGGATTTCAAACATATTCTATAAATACATTACCTTTTCAGAAACCATAGATTTCTTCCTCTTTCTTGACACCGGTAATTTCTTAATTATTGAAGGCTCAGCTACACTTTCTTGAGTCTGGTTAATGTAAAAAACAAGCTTCCTCTACAAAAACGTAAAAAAAAAAAAAAAACAAAATCACAAAATCATAAATTGACTTAGAAACAGTAGTTTGGCTACAAATCACAAAAGCTAAGTACCTTTCTGTTAATAGTATTACTTGTTTGAACTTCTATATGAGGTTCAAATGTAGTTTGGCTTTGTTATTGTGTCACAATTTGGCTTTGTTGTTAAGTAACAGTAGCTTGTGTTTGACTTCTTTCTTTAGCATTGGACACAAATTCAACTGCATTAGTTAACAATTAACTTACTAAATAAAATAATGAATAATTGAAAAATTATGCATATACCTGGCCTTTATCATTAACTGCACCA